GATGTAGTTTAACTTGTCTCTCAGAGCAGGTGTCCAAGGAAGCCAGCAGCTAACGATGGGGGATCAAGGATAGAGGAAGTCACAGAGCTGCTCCATAGAAGACATGGCATCTAGGCGAGACCATGAGGGATGAATAGGAGTTTCTTGGGTGAAGGTGGCATTTTGCCCACAGGAAACTGCATACAGAGGTGCAGCGCAGGGCTCAGAGCCAGGGCCAGAGCATGCGGCGGGGGCTGAGGGAGACGCCCTTGTGTTGTGTACACGCAGCCCCCGCAACACGCCACTATCCTCCCACCCATCTTCCTGGCACCAGAGGAAGACCAAGAGTGTCAGTGCCCTGAAGAAATGCGATGTCAGGATTTCAGGCCCCGGGCAGGGCCATTGCAGTGGGCCCCACAGTGTGGCACCAGTGTCTCCCTGCTCCATGTGGCAGTATGGGCGGCTCCAGCTGCTGCAGCTCTGTGGTCGGGCTGTCTGTCTGCCGACAGGCACTAGACCCCTCCCTCTTGGCCTGTGTCCTCAGGTTGGAGTCCGTGAGGCTGGAGTACCGTGCGGGGCTAAAGAACATCGCCAACACGCTCATGGCCAAGGCGCTGCAGGAGTGCCCCAGCTCCGGTGAGGCCTGCGGGGTCCCAAGCAGGGCTGCAGGCACTTCCTGGGGTGGTGGGTCCCAAGATTCAGTGGGCTGTTCACAGTGTTTGGTTTGCATGAGTCAGTTTAGTCACAAGGTTTATTAACACGATCATTGAGACATTGCAACTGAATTCGCTGTCGGGGGCACTCCACTTCCTGTTGTGAGGTGCTGCCACTTCTTCCTTCGCCTTTTACCATGTCACCCCAAGTCTGTGAGGGATGCACATGCAGCATAAACGGGTTTGGAGTGAAAGGGAATGAAACAACCTCTAAGCCACTGCTCAGAGACCACTACTTTGAGCTTCTTATAAAGTAACGAAGTATGTTTAGTTTGTGTTTTTCCATTGCTTTCCAGAGAGAGTGGAAGAGAAGGGGGGGGAGAGACATTGATGTGAGAGACACACATCGACTGGATTGCCTCCCGCAGGCGCCCCAACCAGGCAGGGAGCAAACCTGCAACCCAGGTACATGCCCTTGACTAGGGGTCAAACCCAGGGCCCTTCGATGTTTGGGCTGACACTCTGAATCACTGAGCAGCACTGGCCAGGACTAGTATGTTTAATTTTGTGCCTTTTTTTAAAGCTGAAACTTTTGTGAGAATTTTTTGTTATCGGTGACTCTTCAAGGGTGTATATTATAAAATTTTGTAGATATGACAAAAAGCACCGATCCCCTGTTACTCAATTTTTAATCTGATTTTAATTCAGTATTACAACCTTTCTGTGTGAATCTTTACTAGCGTTTCTAGGTTTTATTACAATAGATTCTTGGGTGTGGAATTACTGAATCAGCAGGAGTGAGGCCTCGTTGTTATTTCCGATGGTCATCCCCAGAAAGTTGTCCAGTCTGTGCCCTCAGAGCTGCAGGTCCCAGGCGGGCACCGGGACGGCGGGCTCATGTGGTCTTTGCAGTGCTCCCTAAGCAGGACTCTCCTCTCGGGCAGCGGTGCTGGCTGGATGGGCACGTTTCCGAGCCATGGTCAGAGCCTGAGGCGTGTGTCTCTGAGTTTCAGGTGTCCTGTGGTCTGAAGCCATATTCCTGGAGGCCAGGCCCCAGAGGAAGACCAAGAGTGTCGATGCCCTGAAGAAATGCGAGCACGACCCCCATGTGCTCCTGGCCGTGGCCAAGTGAGTAGAGAGTCCCTGTGGGGCTGCTGACCTGGGGACCTGACTGCTTCCCGCCAGGGTCCGCCTGGTCTCTGGAACAGTGCAGGCTCCCTGGTCCTTGGTGTCTAGACCTCAAGCACTTTGGCCTCTTGGGGTAGAGGCCCCGCGGACGTGAGCTGCTGGATTGTCTGGTCCCCTCTGTCCAGTTCTTCAGATGGGACTTCTCTGTGTCTGCCACTTTGTAGCTACACATACACGTGCCCTGGGTTTCAAAACAGAGACAGACTTCGAATGTTGGTCCACACAATTTAATTCATAAGCCAAGCCCCTCTGGCTGAAAGGGCTGTAAGCAAGGAAAGTGTCTCCCCACACCAAGGGGACAGTCGTTCCTGGGGGACCTGGGAGCCGTCAGGGCCATGGGTCCAGCTGTCAGTGCCCGGGTTGTGGAAATGCCACCTCCTTTAGGGCAAATGGTCTCTGGGCAAAAGGAAGTCAGTGACCTCACACCTTGAGCTTGTGTGTTGAGTGCTGGGTCAGGGGCTCCCTGGGGAGGTGTGAGCTGTGTGAGGCGTGGGAAGGAGCTCAGGGTCTTGGGAACACTGGGTGAGGGTGTGGCCCATGAGTGGCTTGCAGGAGGACTTCCTGAGAGGAGTGGGACCTACGTGCAGGGCAGGGCTTCCGTATGGGCTGGGCTCCTGGCGCTGCTGCTCACCCGGAGGAGGTGGCACCTGGGCGGTCGAAGCCTGAGCCAGGGAAGTGCCCAGCTGGCCTTCGCCCTCTTCCTCAGGTGCTGCCCAGCACCTCCTCTCACTGCTGTGGGGACAAGGGCTTCCCACAGGCTCCCGAGGCCTGTCGGAGCTCCCTCCCTCCTGTTCTGTGCTTCCGCCTCCCAGAGTGACCTTTATGTGTGCCACTCAGATAGGGCAGCCATAAACCTCATAAAAGGCTTTGCTAAAGTCAACAAGTCACTCCTTGCTGTTCCCGGGCTGGTGTTCTGTGTGCCTGCTATCTGAGTTTGTGCTCTTTAAATCACAGTTTATCTAACACCAAGCAATTAAGAATGCCACAAGGCTTAAAAAACAATCAAGCTATCATTGCATCAAATTACTCGTTTCGTACAGACCGGCCCCAGCAGCTGCCTGGAGTGGCGGGTTAGTGGTGCCCTCCTCTGCGTTGGTGACTCTGGTGGAGAGGGAGGTGGGCCTAGGTGGAGGGTGGAAGCAAGTCCTCCCATCGTCCTGTCCTCACTGACGTGCAGAGGGCTCTGTGGGCCCTCGATCTGGTCGCGGATGATCCTCCCCCGTGGCCTGGTTCCAGGTATCTTGTCTGCTGTGCCCAGGTGCCCGTGCTGACCTGAGGCCCCCCTCCTCGGGGTTGGCTGCCTGATGGGCAGGAGCAGCCAGACCTTCCCTTCCTTCCCTAATCAAAACCTTAGTTTACATTTTTGTCAGGTTTACTTTCATCCCCTTGTATTTTATCCAGAGGAAAAGAGTGATGGGAAGGAGTTGGAAGTTCCTTACTCTGTGTGTAGGTTTTCTAAGAAACAGTTTGGTTAGACACTTGGAGAACGGCTCCAGTTCGTGATCTGCACCGGTTTCCGGGTGGCCAGGCCCTTCCTCAGCCTCCTGGGGGAGCCCAGGGCTTGCAGGGAGGACAGGTGCCACGGTGGGTCTCTGGGCTCATGCTGCACCCGCACATGGGGAGACCGGAGACCGGCCATCACTGGCCGCTCACCCTGGGTTCTCCCCCTTCTGCTTCTGACAGGCTGTTCTGGAGTGAGCGCAAGATCACCAAGGCCAGGGAGTGGTTCCACCGCACCGTGAAGATCGACTCCGACCTGGGGGATGCCTGGGCCCTCTAGGCAGGGGGCAGGATGCGGACAGCAGCTCTGCTGATGGCTTTTCCTCTGCAGCTGTCTCCTGGTTATAGTTCTGTAGCCTCACAGCCCGAAGTGTAGATGTTTGGGCCGTGTTAAGTGGCCTGTTAGCCTCTCTTGGTTGGTGATGGGATCATGGTAGAAATGAGAGTGGATTCCGAGCCCTGAGGATTGTCCTTGTGCCTCTGTGGGTCTGACTTCCCAGTATGGCTTCCAGGGGAGCCTGGGCTCACAGGGTGGGGTGGCCAGGCTATCTTGGGGTGCCCACGGGAAGTTGACTTTGCCTTTGAGGGAGGCAGGGGCTTGACTCTGCTGTGCATCTGGGTCAAGGCCTGCCCCGAGGTCATCTGTCTGGTGGGGTGGGGTGCAGTGGGGGCTGCTCCTACCAGGAGGGCCCTGCCCTGGTGTCAAGCAGGGCCCAGGCTGGGGCTGAGGTGCACGGTGGGACAGGTGCGGAAGAGGCTGGGAGGAGCCCTGTCTCAAGAGCCCTCTGGTCCCCCCCAGGAGCAGCGGGAGGAGGTGAGGAGGCGCTGCGAGAACGCCGAGCCACGGCACGGGGAGCTGTGGTGCGCCGTGTCCAAGGACATCGCCAACTGGCAGAGGAAGATCGGGGAGATCCTCGTGCTGGTGGCAGCCCGCATCAAGAACACCTTTTGACTGGGCGGTCCCTCTGGGCCGGGGTCTTGGGGCGGGTGGGCCAGTGTGCCTGCCTGCCATGGGAGGACGGGGAGGGGCTCAAGCAGTTTCTGCTCTGGAATTAAAGTTTTTCTAGGTAGCGTGTTGGGTTGGTGACCTGCTGGTTTTCTCTGGGGCTCCTGGCACACCAGTCTGGTCTGGAGGGCGCGTCGCTCTTGTGTGCAGGGAGGCCTCTGAGAGAGGAAGGTGACTCAGTGAGACTGTGGGGAAGGTGGTAGGAAGTGCACCTTCGCTGGTGACTCCTCTGTCCCCTCTGGAGCCTGCAGCTCTTCTAGAGGGGGGCACCAGATCACAGGTTCAAGTTGGGGTGGGGGGATGGCTTCCATGAGTCTGAGCGCACACAGCCACATCCTCAGGTGCCTCCAAGAGCCAGTGCCGAAGGGTACCGGGGAGGCCCTCGGCTGGTGTTGGAGGAAGATGTCACCATGAGAGAGGGTCGCACATTTTTTTTTATTTTTATTTTTTTTAATATATTTTATTGATTTTTTACAGAGAGGAAGGAAGAGAGATAAAGAGTTAGAAACATCGATGAGAGAGAAACATCGATCAGCTGCCTCCACATCTCCCACTAGGGATGTGCCCGCAGCCCAGGTACATGCCCTTGACCGGAATCGAACCTGGGACCTTTCAGTCCGCAGGCCGACGCTCTATCCACTGAGCCAAACCGGTTTCGGCGAGAGGGTCGCACATTTGCAGGTGGACTTGCTTTTGCTGCTTTATACTCAGCAGAGCTCCGAAAGCTTTTGCAGCTGTCCTCTTCCGTACGCTGAACAGGATCTGCCTGGGACACTGGCGGTTGAGGATGAAGGACCTCCTTAGGCGCTGCAGGGAGAGGCAGGTGGCTGCACTCGCTTTCCTTCCATCTCTTCTGGACGAGGCGGGAGGTCTGCCCGGGGCCCTGCAGACAGAGTCCTGCAGCTTCTAGGAGCTCATTCGTCTCTGATGTGGAAAGCAAGGCCCAGGGAGGGACAGCGACTGGCTGTGGCCACAGGGATGTGGGTGGCCTTCTGCGCCCCAAGTGGGGCGTGTCTCCTGGGCACCTCCTCTGGCTTTGATGTCAGGTGAGGCTTCCTTGGGAAGTTCCAGAGCATCAGGATTATCCACACGTGAATGTCTTGGGGGTTGCTTTCTCAAGTGCTTTGAGGTACATTATTTTTCTCCTTGGGAAAACACTTCAGCTTTTCTTCAGCTGACATTTTTTCAACTGCAACTTCCGGCGAGCGGGTTCCAGAGGCTGTCCCTATCCTTCGGGCCAGGCGGGGTGCTGTGGCCCAGCTAGGAAGGGCAGCAGCTGAGTGTTGGACGAGTGGGAAGTCCCACGCCAGGGACCTGCTGGGGCAGGACCCCTGGGCGTCAAGTGTGGGGCTGGCGTGGTGGGGATAAAGTCCCCCTTGCTGGTTCTGTCATGGCCAGGTTCCTGGGAGAGAGCACTGCCAACCTCAGAGGGAGACCCAGATGGGGGGGTGGCCCCCCACTTCCTTGGCTCCCCTCCCCCACCTAGCTGTACTGCCCACTGGCACCCCACCCCCTTTGGGACAGCACATGTCTATGGGGCTGGTGACTCAATCCAGGACCCACTGGGTGGGAAGAGAGCCCAGCACTGCTGGGTCCAGGGTCAGGTTAATTGGAGAAGCGATTGGATACGGAGTTGGGAGAGGGAGGGGGCAGGCTGGGATCCTGGGGCCTCCCTCCTCCCTCCCTCCTTTGCTGGAGGAGCCAACTTCAAAAGCCTTGTCCGCCTGCCGCCAGCCCAGCCACAGCCGCCCTGCTGCAGCCTGTCCAGGGAAGCCTTTGGCTGGGGTTGACTGGGCTTGGAGCCGGACCTGGAGAGCTTTGCGCACCCCACCTGAGGACCCCAGGATCATGTTGGAGACTCACGGGCAGGAGTGAGGGAGGGCCTGCCCCTGAGAGGCCCATGGTGAGCAGCTTTGGGCCCAGGGAGGGGACTCACTGGCCCAAGGGCTGGGAGGTGGAAGCAGGCACCGCCCAGAAGGCTGTGTGATCCTCGGTGCCCCACCGACCGGCCAGGACCGACTGGGAAACCCCCTTGGGTGGCCACGGAGCCTGGCCCTGTGTGCTCAGGCCGCAGGTGCTGGCTGAGCTTTTCCCGGCAGCGTTGGGGGCAGGGAGTCTGCAGGGCTGGGCTGAGCCGTGGGCCCTGAGTGCGCACGTGCGTGTGTGCCTGTAGGGGGGACGGGACAGACGGGCCTTCTGAGGATCCCTGGGCAACAAACATGACCACTTGGACGTCCCTCCTCCAGCACCATCTTGTTCTGTCACCGTGCTCTGACCCACAGCAGGCAGAGGGGCGATTCTGGGTTGGCCATCCTCCTGCATGCCCCAGGGTTGAGAAGGGGCACGGCTAATTGCATCTGCTCCTCCAATGGCCAGGTGGCCCTTGCAGGAGCCCCGCAGACACCAGGCCTGGGCGCCTGCAAGGGTGCTCAGCCCAGGAGGCTGTCTGCCAGGGCTGGGAAGCGGAGTCGAGTCCTGGTCTCGCTCGGTTCACTTGATTAATTTTCCAGTCGCTGTTGGATTTCATCTTGGGGCCCGAGGGTGGGTTTGGGGGCTGGGAGCTAGAGACAAATCTTTCTTATTGATGTTTGAGTTTCGGGGGGGAGGGGCGGGGTTGGATTTCTACTCATGAGAGCTGGCCCTCCCCCCCACCATTCTGAGGAGGGAGGCCTTAAATGGAATATCTGGTGGGGCATAGTATGGCCCCCTCCCTTCTCGTCTTGGGATTTCCCCAAGCCTTACACTTCTAAAGGGGTGTGGCCATGAGTTCTGAGCCTTCACCCTGTCCTGGTTGGGTTAGGGGTGCAGGAGGACCCCCATTTCCTGGGTCAGAGCTGATTGTAGTAGCCCCTGATAGGGGTAGTTCTGCCCAGGATTCCTGTGGGGAGGGTGGGTGCACAGAGGCGAGCAGTGTGCTGGGGCATGGGGCACCCAGCAAGAGGCCCAGGCTCTGGGAGGGGGCGGGAAGGGGCACCCTGCTGTACCCCGCCTAGGCCAGGCCTGCCCCACAGTCTTGTGGGCTCGAACCTGTCTCCTTTCCAGCCTCACCCACTCAGCGTTCAGCTGGCTTATTGTAGTACTTTTTTCTTAAATCGTGTTTTATCTTCAATTACAGGTGACACACGATTCTATTAGTTTCAGGTGTACAGCCCCGTAAACCCAGCACCAGCCTAGTGATTAGAGTATTGCTGACAGTACCTCGCTGTGCGTCCCATGACTGTTATGTAAGCAGCAGGGACTTGTCCGGCCCTACCTGGGCCTCAGCTGCTTGTTGGATGTTGGGGTGACATCTGCATTTACACCAGCTCAGATTCCTCAAGGTTGGGGGCGGAGCACACTGCCTGTGAGGCTGCTGGAGGAGAGACCCCTCCATAGGCCTGGGCGCCCCACCCTGACCTAGTGGCCTTTTAGGTAACCCCCAAGCCGGTGCCGCTCCCCGCCCAGCCCCGCGCCTGCAGTGTCCCCGACGTGCTGCGCCACTACCAGGCTGTCATCTTCGAGGACCTGCAGGCCGCCGCGAGGCGGGCAGGGCCAGGGGACGCAGGGGACGGGCCAGGCTCCAGACATCTCCATTTCGTTCAGAAAAACCAGACTGACGCCGTGGCCCCTGGACGGCGGGGTCGGGTGGGGCCCTCCTGTGGCGCCCAGAAGGTGAGAGGCCCCGCCCACGCCCTCCAGCCTCCTTCCTGGCGTTTCCCATCCGGCTCTGCCCCCAGCCCCGCCATTTCCTCCCTTTCCTAGGAGCACAGTATTCTAGTGTCCATCGCGGCCCTGGGGCGGGCCCTGCGTGGAGCGGTGGCTGGGGACCCCCGCGGGGCCCTGGAGAGAGCTGCCTGGACCGTGGCCCTGCGCACCGAGGCGGTGATGCGGCGCCACTGCCGGCCGCTGCGCCAGGTGTGCGCCCGTCCCCGAGCGTGTGCGCGTCTAGGCCCCGGGCCCTCCCATGACCTGGGCTTCACAGTGGCCCCTGACCGGCGTGAGCTGGGGCGGGGGGGGCTCCCGGATTGTGCACACGTGCTGACCGCCCCTTCCCGACAGCAGAGCCGCCGGGGCTGGTGGGCTCGGCCGCGCCCTCAGCGGCATCGCGGCAGGCGGAGGCGGCTCCTGCTGCGAGCCCTGGACGCCGTCGCCACCTGCTGGGAGAAGCTCTTCGCCCTGCGAGCCTTGGACAGCCGGGGCCCCTAGCTCGCCCTGCCAGGCTCGTTTGGTGACCACCGAGGGCTCCGTGCTGACCTGGCTGACCATTGAGTCCCACCCAGGTCTCATCCTGACCCCTGTTCACCCGAGGGCGCGGGACCTGGAGGTGTGAGCCCTGTTGGTACCAGGCTGCCCTGCACACACCGAGAGAGGCCTCAAAAAAAGTGCTGAGAAGCAGGCCCGGGAGGGAGGGCTGTTGGGGAACCTGGGGTACACTTCCTTTACACCTGGGCACGCGCTGCCCTCCCGACCTCGGGCAGCAGGGGGCAGCTTCCAACGCTGGACTCTGGCTCCGTCGGCGGCTTTAGGCTGGGGTGGAGGGGACTCCTGCAGGCGCTGCAACATGTTGAGTGTCCGTGGGCTTCTCTCTGGAGCGGGGGAGGGGAGGGGAAGGCTGGGCTTTGTGAATTCACAGCAAAACAGCCGGATAAAGGAAACGGGCCTGAAGGGAAGCCAGAGTCGCTGGCCCTGGCTGCAAGCGGGGCCAGGCCATTTCCTGCGGCCCTGGGAGGGGTGGCTGTGGCCCCCTTTGTGGGACTGGACAGGCTGGCCAGAGACCCACTGTCTCATACCCTGGAGACCCTGCGTTTCTTGACCGAGTGGGGCACCAATCCCTGCTTCCCCCCTCGCGACTGCATGGCCCTGGGGTCTGTGTCCCCTGCCAAGTCCAGCCTGTGGCCAAGGGGGGATCCGGCAGGCAGGGCCACTGGCTAAGGCGGATGCTTCTCCAGAGACGGCCCTGCCTCAGGTCCTGGCAAAGCCGAGGCAGGAGGAGCAGGAATCCCTTCAGGGGGCAGCCATGGGCATGACCATCGGAGCATGACTGACCCTGCCCAGCGCTCACTGTGTTAACATATTGAGTCTGTGCAGCAGGAACTAGTGTCCATTTTCTAGGTGAGCAAACTGAGGCACCAGGTCGGGACTTGCCCCAGGGCACATGCCAGGAAGTGTAAGAGCTAGGGCAAGGCCAGCAGGAGGCGGTCCCTGAATGTGCCCTTGGGCAGCGGGAGGGCCAGGCTCCTGGCTCAGTGCTCAGCCTCAGCTCACTCCTAAGTCCTGATCAAGGGAGACCCCAGTGCGAGGGCCGGGGGCGGGGGGGCGGGGGGGCTTTGTGGTTGAGGCTAAAGGAATAGGCTGGGACATGAATGAGTCGATGGAGGTCCAGGCAACCGGAGGGTCCTGGCCTGAGTACCTGGGTGTGTCCTCTTGAACTTGGGGGACACTGATGAGGGGAGCAAACCTGTGTTGGATGGAGCAGTCCCATCCTGGGGCTCCTGCTGTGTGGGCCCCTCAGTATCCAGGTAGGGGAACAGGTCCAATTTGGTTGGAGCCTAAGACATGGGGTCGCTGAGTTGGGGCTGAAGAAGGTTCTTGGCGTCAGTGCAGGGGCAGGAGGAGAGCAGGCCCTCCCAGGAGGCCCCCACTAGGCTCCTGTCTTTCCCAGGCAGCCAGCTCTCAGCACTTGGACCTGCCCCAGGCCTGGGGCCATGGGGAGAGCATGCCTGGCATGGCCTCCAGGCACTCATGGCTGCTGCCCACCCACCATGCTCTCTCCTGCTGCCTTGGAAGTGGGTGGTAACAGGCAGTCCCTTCCTCCACCCATGTGGTTCACACAGACCACAGCCTGGGGAGCTGTGGGGGGGAAGCAGAGGTCTCAGAGTTCTAAGGACACAACCCCCACCCAAGTCCTGGGCCACGACCACATGAGTGGGTGAGATGCCCCCACTTCCTGGCCCCACCTGGTAGTGTGTGTGTCTGTGTCAGTGTGCACACAGGTGTGTGCTGAGGGGTTACCTTTGAGTGTGTACATAGAGGTGCGTGTGCAACACAGTCCAGGCTCCTGCTTCCCCCTCCCCCACCCCTACCCCTGCCCAGCAAGCTCCCCTCTCTGAGGCCCTCCTGGTCCTGGCAAATTGAATGCCCGGGGGGCGGGCAGTAGAGGCCTCTGGTCTGAGCCAGCAGAACACAGAGCTCCCATGATCTTGCTCCTGCAGCACCCTCACCCACCCACTTCCACCCTCTGACCTTTCTCTTGAGGCTTCAGACATGCCAACCCCTGGATGATGGGCCAGTATTGTGGATGTGGGGGACCCGGGCCCTGTCCCCTCACCTTAGAAGCCATCTGGCCTGCCTAGTATGGCTCAGTGGTTGAGCGTCAACCTATGAACCAGGAGTTCAAGGTGCAATTCCTGGTCAGGGCACATGCCCAGGTGTGGCGTGTGCAGGAGGCAGCTGGTCGATGTTTCTCTCTCATCGATGTTTCTAACTCTCTATCTCTCTTCCTTCCTCTCTGTGAAAAATCAATAAAATATATTTTTTTAAAAAAATTATAAACAAAAAAACAATGATAGATTGTTCATGATTAAAAAAACTATCTGTATCCTAAGACTGCTGTAAAATCAGCACAAACTACTCGGCTCAGAACAGTAGGTGTTTCTTTCCTCACGATTCCAGAAGCCAGAGTCCAAACTCAGTGTCACGGGCCTGAAATCAAGGTATCGGGGGCCGTGCTCCCTCCAGGGCCCACAGGAGGGCCCTTCCTGCGTCTCGCAGCTTCTGGCGGCCGGACTCAGCAGAGGGGCTGTGTCGCTGCCATCTCCGCCTCCTCTCAGGAGCGTGTTGCCCTTGGATTCAGGGCCACACCTGCCAAGACCCTTTTTCTACATACGGTGCCACTCACAACTTCTGGGTGTGCACATACGTCTTCTGGAGGTCAGGGTAGGCTTCTGGCTTTTGGGACAAACTTTATTTGGGCTGAGTAGGGGCACGTACAGAGCCACACGGCTGCTGAGACAGACTAGAGGGAGAGCCGGGTGCCCGTCCAGACCCCAAGGTGCTGGCTGTTCTTCAGGCCTGCCACTGGGACCCCCTCCGTGTGTTGCTCACCACAGCACACGAGCGCTCAGTAAATGCACTGGCTGGGACTGCCCCGCGCGGACAGAGCTGGAGCGAGACAACCACAGGGACAGGGGCACTGGCTCAGTGCACGGGCTCGTGTCCATGTGTCTGCCAGGTATGCACTGCCCTCCCTGCTGAGGCCCTGGGCCTGTGGCTTGAGCCTGGTTCTCTCAATGTAAAACCAAACCGTTTCTGTGGCTCACACATGGTGGGGTCAGGGCTGGGCCCAGTGCCGTCCTATCCCACACCCGTGCCTTCTCAGCTGCTTCCAGGAGGCGGGGGCGGGGGCACAGAGGAGGGCTGAGCAGCGGCAGATGGGGCTGCAGGGCAATGGCCAGGGTTGTGCAACTTCCCAAAGCAGGGAGCCAGGCCCCCACACAGCGCCAAGGAGGGCCAGGCGGACTTTGAAGAGTAGCCGTCCCGCGGACTCCCCAGACGGCGAGCTTTTGAAAGAACATCTGGAACCCGGGCCATCTGCAAAGTAGTCTCTGGGTTAGAAAAACCAAAGTTAGTCCCGACTTTGCCACTGTGTGTTCCACACCCCCACCTCTGCCCCTTCCCACACTGCCAACAGGCCCGGGGGTGGGGTATGAGCCCTTCCCTGGGGTCCTCTCATGGGCTCTGGCAGCACCTCCCCCCGTGTCCCCTGCCCCACTGGCCACCCCCAGCCTGACATGCAGTTTGGGGTTCATGGAGCCACAGCTGCCCCATATCTGTGCTGGGTGCTGAGGACTGGGCCGGGTCCGAGCGGGAGCCCAAGGAAGCACCTGCAGGGAGACCCGGGCGCGGCCCGCCAGCAAGGGCCCTGGCGTGTGAGCCTGAGCTGGATGGGCCCTTGGTCCTGCAGGTGTGCAAGGAGGCTGCCTGCTCCAGCTGGGCTGCGGGAACAAACAAGGCCCCACTCCAGGAAGCAGAGCAAACACTCCTGGTGGGGGTGCCAGGTGCTGCAGCCCATTGTCCTTGCCAGTGGCCTGTGGGACCCTGGGGAGTGCTCTGCGACAGTCCCCATCCTGCCCCCTCCCTAGCAAAGACCCAGCTTTGTCAGCACAGGAACAAATGGCCTTCTACCCTCCAATTACCCCCAAAGCCGCAGGGAGCCCTGCCGGGGGAGCCGTCCTGGGGAGGGAAACGCTGCGTCAGGCCCTGTGTGCTGTGGGGGAGGGCGTCCCTGCTTCGGACGCTGGCCCCTGGGCCCCTCCGGCCCGCGCTGTTCTCGGCGCGTTGGGA